CTGCAGAGGAACTGTCATGTGAATTCCTTATAAGCGTCTGCTCCATCACTTACCCCTGGCTGTCTGAAGAGGAACTGTCGTGTGAATTCCTGATAAGCGTCTGCTCCATCACTTACTCCTGGCCGTCTGCAGAGGAACTGTCATGTGAATTCCTTGCAAGCGTCTACTCCATCACTTACCCCTGGCCGTCTGAAGAGGAACTGTCGTGTGAATTCCTTGCAAGCGTCTGCTCCATCACTTACCCCTGGCCGTCTGCAGAGGAACTGTCATGTGAATTCCTTATAAGCGTCTGCTCCATCACTTACTCCTGGCTGTCTGAAGGGGAACTGTCGTGTGAATTCCTTATAAGCGTCTGCTCCATCACTTACCCCTGGCTGTCTGAAGAGGAACTGTCGTGTGAATTCCTGATAAGCATCTGCTTCATCACTTACTCCTGGCCGTCTGAAGAGGAACTGTCGTGTGAATTCCTTGCAAGCATCTGCTCCATCACTTACTCCTGGCTGTCTGAAGAGGAACTGTCGTGTGAATTCCTTGCTAGCGTCTGCTCCATCACTTACCCCTGGCTGTCTGAAGAGGAACTGTCGTGTGAATTCCTTGCAAGCGTCTGCTCCATCACTTACCCCTGGCTGTCTGAAGAGGAACTGTCGTGTGAATTCCTTGCAAGCGTCTGCTCCATCACTTACCCCTGGCTGTCTGCAGAGGAACTGTCGTGTGAATTCCTTATACACGTCTGCTCCATCACTTACCCCTGGCTGTCTGAAGAGGAACTGTCGTGTGAATTCCTGATAAGCGTCTGCTCCATCACTTACTCCTGGCCGTCTGCAGAGGAACTGTCATGTGAATTCCTTGCAAGCGTCTGCTCCATCATTTACCCCTGGCCGTCTGAAGAGGAACTGTCGTGTGAATTCCTTGCAAGCGTCTGCTCCATCACTTACCCCTGGCTGTCTGAAGAGGAACTGTCATGTGAATTCCTTATAAGCGTCTGCTCCATCACTTACTCCTGGCTGTCTGAAGAGGAACTGTAATGTGAATTCCTTATAAGCGTCTGCTCCATCACTTACTCCTGGCTGTCTGAAGAGGAACTGTCGTGTGAATTCCTTGCAAGCGTCTGCTCCATCACTTACTCCTGGCTGTCTGAAGAGGAACTGTCGTGTGAATTCCTGATAAGCGTCTGCTCCATCACTTACCCCTGGCTGTCTCAAGGGGAACTGTCGTGTGAATTCCTGATAAGCGTCTGCTCCATCACTTACCCCTGGCTATCTGAAGAGGAACTGTCGTGTGAATTCCTGATAAGCGTCTGCTCGATCACTTACTCCTGGCTGTCTGAAGAGGAACTGTCGTGTGAATTCCTTGCTAGCGTCTGCTCCATCACTTACCCCTGGCTGTCTGAAGAGGAACTGTCGTGTGAATTCCTGATAAGCGTCTGCTCCATCACTTACTCCTGGCTGTCTGAAGAGGAACTGTCGTGTGAATTCTTTGCAAGCGTCTGCTCTATCACTTACCCCTGGCCGTCTGCAGAGGAACTGTCGTGTGAATTCCTTGCAAGCGTCTGCTCCATCACTTACCCCTGGCCGTCTGCAGAGGAACTGTCGTGTGAATTCCTTGCAAGCGTCTGCTCCATCACTTACCCCTGGCCGTCTGCAGAGGAACTGTCGTGTGAATTCCTTGCAAGCGTCTGCTCCATTACTTACCCCTGGCTGTCTGAAGGGGAACTGCCGTGTGAATTCCTGATAAGCGTCTACTCCATCACTTACTCCTGGCTGTCTGAAGAGGAACTGTCGTGTGAATTCCTTGCAAGCGTCTGCTCCATCACTTACCCCTGGCCGTCTGCAGAGGAACTGTCGTGTGAATTCCTTGCAAGCGTCTGCTCCATCACTTACCCCTGGCCGTCTGCAGAGGAACTGTCATGTGAATTCCTTGCAAGCGTCTGCTCCATTACTTACCCCTGGCTGTCTGAAGAGGAACTGTCATGTGAATTCCTTGTAAGCGTCTGCTCCATCACTTACCCCTGGCCGTCTGCAGAGGAACTGTCATGTGAATTCCTTGTAAGCGTCTGCTTCATCACTTACTCCTGGCTGTCTGAAGAGGAACTGTCGTGTGAATTCCTTGCAAGCGTCTGCTCCATCACTTACCCCTGGCCGTCTGCAGAGGAACTGTCATGTGAATTCCTTGCAAGCGTCTGCTCCATTACTTACCCCTGGCTGTCTGAAGAGGAACTGTCGTGTGAATTCCTGATAAGCGTCTGCTCCATCACTTACCCCTGGCTGTCTGAAGGGGAACTGTCATGTGAATTCCTGATAAGCGTCTGCTCCATCACTTACCCCTGGCTGTCTGAAGGGGAACTGCCGTGTGAATTCCTGATAAGCGTCCGCTCCATCACTTACTCCTGGCCGTCTGAAGAGGAACTGTCGTGTGAATTCCTTGCAAGCGTCTGCTCCATCACTTACCCCTGGCTGTCTGAAGAGGAACTGTCGTGTGAATTCCTTGCAAGCGTCTGCTCCATCACTTACTCCTGGCTGTCTGAAGAGGAACTGTCGTGTGAATTCCTGATAAGCGTCTGCTCCATCACTTACTCCTGGCTGTCTGCAGAGGAACTGTCATGTGAATTCCTTGCAAGCGTCTGCTCCATTACTTACTCCTGGCTGTCTGAAGAGGAACTGTCGTGTGAATTCCTGATAAGCGTCTGCTCTATCACTTACCCCTGGCTGTCTGAAGGGGAACTGTCGTGTGAATTCCTGATTAGCGTCTGCTCCATCACTTACTCCTGGCTGTCTGAAGGGGAACTGTCATGTGAATTCCTTGCAAGCGTCTGCTCCATTACTTACTCCTGGCTGTCTGAAGAGGAACTGTCGTGTGAATTCCTGATAAGCGTCTGCTCTATCACTTACCCCTGGCTGTCTGAAGGGGAACTGTCGTGTGAATTCCTGATTAGCGTCTGCTCCATCACTTACTCCTGGCTGTCTGAAGAGGAACTGTCGTGTGAATTCCTGATAAGCGTCTGCTCTATCACTTACCCCTGGCTGTCTGAAGAGGAACTGTCGTGTGAATTCCTGATAAGCGTCTGCTCTATCACTTACTCCTGGCTGTCTGAAGGGGAACTGTCGTGTGAATTCCTGATTAGCGTCTGCTCCATCACTTACCCCTGGCTGTCTGAAGGGGAACTGTCGTGTGAATTCCTGATTAGCGTCTGCTCCATCACTTACCCCTTGCTGTCTGAAGAGGAACTGTCATGTGAATTCCTTGCAAGCGTCTGCTCCATTACTTACCCCTGGCTGTCTGAAGAGGAACTGTCGTGTGAATTCCTGATAAGCGTCTGCTCCATCACTTACCCCTGGCTGTCTGAAGGGGGGGGGGGGGGGGGGGGGGCACTCTGACCTGTGACATATATATATATATATATATATATATATATATATATATATATATATATATATATATATATTTTTTTTTATTTTTTTTTTTATTTATTTTTTTTTAGAAAATGACAGATCGTTTCGCTAGATAAGATCCTTATTTCTCGACTGGGATCATGTCGAGACTTTGAAGCTGCATTGACACGGACATTTCTTTTGAATTTTGATTACGAACCTTCTTTGAACATTTAAATATTTGGTTACCATTGAAGTCCATTCTGTGTAGAAAAATCGACTGCCTAGTCATAATCAACATTAGATGAAACACAATATTTAAAACTACACACACAAGCACACATTTTAATTACACAAATTATTTATGAGTGTATTCTACAAGATACAGTTGAATATTTTACATATCAATAATTTTTCATTTTAAATTCTGCATCACCAGATTTCATTTTCATTTGTGACAATTTCTCTAAACTTTATCCTAAGTTAGTATACTATTCTTAACCTAGTAGTACAAACATAAAACTTTCCTTAATGTCGAAGTGATTATTATGCATATCACCACCAGTTCATGTCACATATACAAAAATATATTCCAGCCAATTTTCAACATTTTATTCACTGTTCTAGAAATATTTGACTAAACTTTGTTAATTTGCCGCACTCTGATCTAAATAACACTGTGATGAGTTACATCCGGGACATTTACGCGCTGAGCGCGACAAAACCATACGAAACGAGCTGAGACTTTTTACACAGATGCCATTTTCCTTGATTCGCGATGCAAGGCATACGATGAGGGAAAACACATGGATTAAGTGTTTTATTGCATTTATGTATGCATTTTATAACATCTTATTGTTTTATAACAATGTGTATGTGCTGTGCAAGGCTAAACCGCTCTCAGGGGGGCATTTCCGTTGACGCGCGATGCAGATCAGACCAGGATGGGTTTGCTTTTTAACAGGGAAACGGCGAAAGTAGGTGTTTTATCTAATTTACAATATGTATTTTATAATATATTGATTTATAGCGATATTTAAATGCTTTGCGCGCTTAAACGAGCCGAAACTTTTCTCAAAGGCGACGATCTTCTTTGACTCAATACGGAGCTGACGACGAGGAGGTTTGCTTGTAACGTTAACAGGAAAAACACCGAAAGTAAGTGTTTTTAACCTAATTTACAACATGTATTTCATGGCATTATATTGTTTTGTAACAATATTTATGTGATGTGCGCCCCTAAACCTTTCTCACAGACTAGGCCTGCATCTTCTTTGAGTCGTGACGCAGTGCTGACACGGAGTTTGCTTTTAACAGTAAAAACAAATAGTAAGTGTTTTAACTCATTACAATACGTGTTTTATATTGTTTTATGACAATATTTGTGATGTGCAAATATTAAAAGTATGTATTTATCCTCAACCTATCTTTTACTCTCGTTTACCAGCACACCTAACGTTAGCGTATAACTGAAAAACAGAAGAACAACTCCACAGACTGCAGACCGACAATGCACGCGAAATTGTCACTTTATTTCCTTTTTTGGAGGACACATTTTCTTAGAATGGGTAACTAATTCTTTCAGATTAAATATTTATGCAAAATGTACTAATCAGTAACTTTTGATTGATGTTTGGTGGTTATGCTTTCATGTTTAAATGTATTGATTTAGCTATTTGTGTTTGCTATGAGCATTTCTATGATGCACCGAGTGGCTAAGGCTAACCAGGCTTGGTGTTTAAAGACTGTACAGACTAGAACCTGGTGATGGTAAGATTTAACAGATAACATGAGAAAATCATGGGCACAACCATAAAAAATAATCATAGCTTTGTTGCTATTTAGTATAACTAGATTTTATGTGTTTCTTAACAATCATTTTTAATTTGTCCAGTCAAATTACTTTACAAGAGTAATTTTTATTTTTTACTTAAAATTAGTTTTCAAACCAATTGTTTTCATGATTTGACAGGTAAATGTTTTCTTGCTGTTTAATTTTAGACTCCACTGATTGGGAAATCTCTGCCCATCACCTGTCCAAGATCACAGCCACAAGAAGGGAACACAGATTCTTCCGGTGGCTGACTATTAGTGAGATTTCTTAAGGTGGGTGTCTTAATTTATTTTTAAAGGGTTAGTTCACCCAAAATGGAAATTCTGTCATTAATTACTCACCCTCATGTCGTTCCAAACATGTAAGAATTTCTTTCATCTTCACAACACAAATAAAGATATTTTTAATGAAATCTGAGAGCGTCCTGCCCCTCCATTGACAGTCTATACAACTACCACTTTCAAGCCCCAGAAAGCTATAAAGGTACATCATTATGCTGCGTTCACACCAGACGCGAATAGCTCGTCAAATTCGCGCCTACCGCGTCTAGTTATACGCTTGATGATTGATGTTAGATGATTTAACTTTTTCCACCATAATCTTGCTGTATTTATAAAACACAAATTGTATTAATTGTAATCGGTCTGGTGTTGTGTTGTCTAGAGAACCAGCACTCCAGGATTTTTCGAGAAAGTTGGATCTGCACAGCCGTTCCTGCTCTATGAAACTCTACTGTTTGCAACTGGACACAACTGATCCACTCGTATCCTGCAACTGATCCACTCGTATCCTGCAACTGATCCACTTGTATCCTGCAACTGTTCTTCATCTGCTGAATGTTGTTGACTCGAGCACTGCTGTACTGTTGCAGAGTCGAAGGTACTGAATCAACTTCACTGACACAGGACTTACATTCACTGACATGTTCAGGATTTGAAGTATTACAGACCATTTGATAAGAAGCTTTCATATAATTCTGATGACAGAAATGCCTATATTGTGCATTCATTGTTTATTTTAAAGGTTAACCTATGATGTAAAGGGGCTTGTTCGTTAATAAAATAAATAGTTTGTTAAAACCACTGTTTGCATTTTGCCTTTATTTTTGACTTTACAATGAATTCTGCTATAATCCCGGACTAAGGTTACAATTTAACTTTCTGGATTGTTTTGAAATAAAGTTTTGAAAGAGTAATATAGAGTGATGTGTTTATTTCAAAGTGAATTTATTCTTTTCAGATGAAATGATTTGTCAGTTTATTTTACAGTTCTTTAACCCTCTGGGGACCAAGGTGTTTTTGGGGCCCTTGGGATGTTTTGACATGCACTGACATTTGTGCTTTTTCAGTTATTTATAAACATGTTAATGGCAAAGGTGTAAATTCACTCTAATAGCACAAACGGGGCTACCATGATATGTTAGCAACATGTATGTACATGTTTGTATTTTTAAGAGAATAATGTTTATGCGTGGTTATTGAAAAAAATAAAAATGAAAGTTGCTGAAATAAGACCACAAAACACATATTGATTATTTCTTCACAAGACTTTTGAATATTGTATCACATAGTCTAGAATATATTTGCTCCAAAACTATGTGAGAATCATCCTGACTACTCATTCAGATAAGTCAATAAAGTCTTTTACATTTTTAATGACGTGTTTTGTTTGAGAAAGCCTTATGCAAGGAGGCGTGATCTCTCATTAATATGTGTGGCATTCCACACCTGAGAAAGACAAAGACCCTCCCCTAATGGCCCTATTAGGTGCTATCAGGCCATATCATTAGAGGCTAATAAGCCTTGCACAAAGAATGAGAGCTGACTAGCTAGACTTGCTATAGCTAGCAATACCAGCTGACTTTTTTCCTTATCAGTGCAAAAGAGACTCAAAATAACTCCGTCGATTTTTGTCATACAGGCAAGTGTTATACATCATTCGATCCTGTTAAGTTTCTATTTTTTTGTGTATACTCACAATAAAAACAAAGTGTTGTGCTTTTCGACAAATAAAGAAAAATAAACACGATGCACGTTCTGAGTCCGTTCTGAGTTCAAAGTCCATTCTGAAACGCGTCCGAAAATTTACTATAACTCTGCAAATACTCAGTCAAACAGGTATACAGGCACACAGGCATGAAGCCTGAATTTTCTTCTTTTAAATGAAGTAATTTATATAAAAAACAAATTTTCTCATTTTATGTAATCTGTACGAAAAGAGAGAGATTTCAGTCGTTCTCGTCTCTGCTCATTAAAGTTAATTTGACCACGCCCACGGAGCGCGCGCTCTATTCAAACACAAATGCTCTGAGGCGATCCACGCCCACACATCAGCTGGATACCATAGATAAAACACACCATATTTACGACGCCGCGAGGAATAATACTTTCTTAATAATAATCCTGGAAAAAATTACCTCAGAAGTGCAGGTAGTTTCGATTTGAGGAGCAACGGATCCAGCTGAGGAATAGGTAAATTCTTTATTCTCAAGTGCTTTGTTCTAATCGCGATATGAAATAGTGTCTGTAAAGAAAAAGACTGTTTGAATATGAATCGCATTTTTGTGTGTGAGTGAATGAACAGCTTTTACCTATATTGCTATACTGAGATGAGTAAAAATCGACTGAAATATGTTGAAATAAAATATGTATAAGCAATGTATTAAACTGCAAATTAACATTTGTATGCCCTAAAATATCATAAAAACGATATGTTACATATGAAAGACAAGATTTCGTTTTTACTGTAAAATACTGCCACATCAAATAAGCTTGTTTGCTAATTTCTGCTCATATATATATATATATATATATATATATATATATATATGTTTTGTCAAAATAAAGTCATAAACTAAGATGTTATTATAGTGTTTGTTCTATTGTAGGCTATATTCAAACTAATTAATCCGCAACTGTGAAATATGTATGATAAAATGTATACTTTAGTTTATACAAAGAAAGATTACATTTGAGTTTGAATACACCTTCTGGTGCTACTTGGACACGTCATCAGTGAAGAACCCGGGGTCATAGGGTGTTTCGGGTCTTTAATCTTTATACACCCTCACCCGGGCGATCCAGACGGGGGTGATCAGTCCCCGGCTTGTGTCCAAGTGGCATGTTTCTCCACGTATCCCCCCTACGGATCCACAGCCACCGAGAAGCCCTCTCTGCGGCCTCTAAGATGTTTGTGGTGGCTTTTGTCAATTGCAGTCCTTTCACTCCGAGGAGTTTGAAGGTTCGCAGCAGTGAAATATAGTTAAAATTTTAATTGTTGTTGTAATTGTAACCTTTTTAATAAAATAGCAAAAATATATGTACATATAAATAAATCTTAGGTAAATCTTAAAATGTCAATATAAGCCTTCTCTTTAAATTATTTGTATTGTGTTTTATTAGTGACACATTTGGGATATATTCCCAAACTTTCTGTAAATACAGTATGAGAATTAATTGCACAATTACTAGAAATGTTTACATTGGATATTATACAATTTGCAAGCACAATTTGAAAAATAAATAAATAATTGGAACTGTGAACCAATTTTGTATTATATAGGCCGGCCTATATATATATATATATATATTAGGGCTGTCAGTTAAACGCGTTATTAACGGCGTTAACGCAAACCCATTTTAACGGCGTTAATTTTTTTATCGCGTGATTAACGGTCTTTTTGGTCTAGCAAACTTTGTAGTTTTTTTTTCACATGCTTTTGCAACAGGACGGCATGCGGGCCGCTGCGCTATGAAACCCATTCATTTCAATGGCTTGCGGCGCGCGAGGACGTTTTGAAAGCGCAAGCGGATCTAGCTAGACCGGAAACAAAACAACAGGCACGCCGCACACACTTGTTTGGGCTTGCGAGCCGGATGCGCGAGCGCAAATCTCTCTGCTCGCGCGCGGAATATAATGTGCCGAGCACGAATCTCTCTGCTCGAGTCGCGCGCGCTCTCAGATACACGCTGCTCTTATAAGAATTTTCTCTGGGCTCGCTCAGAGAATATGCCTGCACTTAAAAAGTGTTCAGTGCAATCGCGAATCTCTCCTCTTCCCCAGCTAACAATTTTAGGTTATAAGAATGTTTTCATAACGTTCCCATTAAGTTATAAACGTTATTTCTGAATGTTATAGGAACGTTCAAAACGTCCAGTTTTGAGTGGATGACGAGCGTGAGATGCCGAAATGGATGCCAATAAGATTCTGAATGGAAAGTTTACTTTTAAAAAGTTGCCAAATGGTTCCATTGACAAGACCAAAGTGATCTGTGTGTTTTGTCGTTGTGAACTGAGCTATCATCATCGCAGCACGTCCAGTCTGAATACCACTTGATGATGGCCAGCACACACACACACACACAGCTGATGCGAATTCTCCGCCCCCTCGTCAATATCAGGACCTCGTCAGTATTTATTTCACCCTTTTATTGATGGACAGTGTTATATTGTGTGAGAGATTATTTGCTCCAAGTGATAATGTTTTAGTGTGAAATTGAACAGTATATGCCAATATTGTTTTCAATAAAAAACATTTGCACAAAGCAAGCCGATCCACTTTTCCATGTTGATAAGAGCATTAAAATGAGAAAAAAATAATGGGACAAAAAGAAATCAAGAGACATTTAGAATAGATAAAAATGTGCGATTAAATGCGATTAATCGCGAGTTAACTATGACATTAATGCGATTAATCGCGATTAAATATTTTAATTGTTTGACAGCACTAATATATATATATATATATGTATTGTCATTGCATTCTTGTGGCTCAGTGACACCTGAATGAAAGGGTCATTAGTATGCTGCCTCATTATGCGCTCATTATGCGGGCCCATTGTCTTCTCAGGTGTGAATCACAGCAGCTCACGCCCCTGCGCATATTGCCTTTACAAACAAAAAGTGTCATAAAACATTCAAACCAATCTATTGTGTTATGTGAATGATTGGGCAGGATGATTTTCAGATCATTTTGAAGCAAAAACTCTAGGCGACAACATTTGTGTTTTGTGGTCTTATTTCAGAAACTTTAAGTTTTAGTTTTTTCAATAACCACGCATAAACAATATTCTCTCAAAAATACAAACATGTACATGAATGTTGCTCACAAATTATGGTAGCCCTGTTTGTGCTAAATAGAGTGCAATTTCACCTTTGCCAGTAATTTGTTTATAAGCAACTGAAAAAAGCACAAATGTCAGTGCATGTCCAAACATCTCAAGGACCCCAAAAACACTGTAGACCCCAGAGGGTTAGTGAGGAGAACTCCAACCTTTATATAGACATGGTTTTATTTCAGTTCAAAGTTAGAGTTGGAAACATCTTGAAAAGAAAATTGTCTTTCTCCTTAAATGTCTTAGTTTGATCATACATATTTCAAAGTTGAGGATTCATTATTTTGATATAGCTTGCATTGGAACAAACACTATAACATCTTAGTTGATTAGTTTATTGACAAAACATATTTAACATATGAGCAGAAACTCCTAACAAAAGCTTATTTGATGTCTATTTTAGAGTAAAAACTTTATCCAAAACTAGTCAACGAAATGTTGTCTTTTATTTAGTCTGTAACAGTGCGTATCTGTGCGTTCATTCATTCATTCATTCACACACACACAGACACACACACACAAACATGATTCACATTTAAACAGTATGCTATTTTTCCGTTTACAGACACTAACGTTATTCTATATCGCGATTAGAACAAAGCACTTGCATAAAACACTTACACTTCTCAGCTGAATCTGTTGCTCATCCTCGAAGTGAAAATAAACCAGCACTTGTAAAACTGGTAAATGTCCCAGGATTGTTCCTCATATAGCCACGCAAGACAACAGTAGATTAATCTGACTAAAAAATATATATGTTTTCAGAGTTTATGGGCGTTAACGCGTCTCAATGGCTGCGTTCGGAATCGCATATACTTCCCTACTATATAGTAGGCGAAAAGAGTAGGCGAGCGAAAAAGTACGTTCGAATCCTCAGTATTCATAAAAGAGTAGGCGAGAATTACCTGGTTGACGAACTAATTATCGCGAGATTTGGACGATAGTGCGTTCGAATATGCCTACTTTCCTACTATATAGTAGGCGAAAACAGTACGTGAAAGAAGCAGTACGTTCGAAACATCAGTATTCCTAAAAGAGTAGGCGAGAAGTTCCCGGATGATCTCCTGCTTTCGCCCAGACATTTGAGTGCTTTTCAGCTTGTACTCATCTATCCCAGGAGGCCACGCGAGAGGATACGATATAAAAAAGAACAAGAAGAAGTAGATATTTCATACTCAAACATGACGGAAAGGGTGGACGAGAGTGTTTTCAAATGTGAGTATTACAAATACAAACCAAATCGCATGTGTTGAACTAACTTTCTGTACAGTAAATTGTTGAACTGTTGAAGGTGCAAAGACGCTATATAATATGGTAAATTTGTGATTTTGCCATAAATCACATTTTATTGGATAGAGGAGCTCCATAAGGACACATACGTCTTTAAACTGTATTTGCATACATTTTAAACCGTATACATCTGAAATACCATTACTAAATATTTATTCAAAATCTGGCAAGATTACTACGTGTAACCAGGGGCGGACTGGCCATCTGTGTGATCTGGAGAATCACAGAACGACCGGCACTCCAGGACGGCCGGCGGGCCGGCCCACCACCCGCCACACACGCAGTCACAGACATCCCAAGTCTCCCGGAAGTTCCGCGAGTCTCCCGCATATTGATAGATGCTCCCTGATGCCCGCAAATTAGTTAAAATCTCCCGGAATCTAGAGCGAGCAAGAGTGCGCATGCGTAGCGCGTGCATGGCAGAGAGAGGGAGCGAGCTAGCGACCTTGCGTGTGCCTCACGAAGCGCATGTAAGGACCCAACCAATCAATTGTCAGTGCGGGAGGGCTTTTATCTCTACTACTCCCGAACCGAATTAATCAGAAATTACTTTGCAAGTTACTTGCTAGGGATGATGTTAGGAAGTGATATTCAGCTTGCTACATTTTTAATGATTACAGTAGTTAAAACAGCTAAACTTCAACATTTTAGCTGTAAAATGCCTGTATGCAGGAGCTAATATCAAGAAATATGTTGTGCTTTTACTTTTAAAAATGTTGGTAACGTTACAGTTAATGCTTACAAACTTTGAAGATTTTGAATACAGAATTACATTTGTAATGGTGTATTTTCATTTAGATGTGGTATTATTATTTGTGCAGTAGATTAATTACTGCATAAATTAATTAAGATTATTAAGTAATAAATTCATTTTAAGACAGCATGGAATTGTATAATATGCTGTTAGCTATAATTTGGATGGTATAGTATCATGAGCCACAATTAAAATCTTGTGACACTCATTTGTGCAGGCGTTATTGTTGTTGTTGTTGTCGAGTTTCCGCGCGCCGATTGCTTTGGGCCGGGCCTAGTCAAAGTCCAGGGCCGTTTTTTAGTCCCAGTCCGTCCCTGCGTGTAACTGATATTAAATAGACATCTGAGTGACGTGTGTGTACTATTGTTTAGGAGAATTCACTGTTGTTAACACTGTTTTTATTAGTTTAATGCATTTTACATAAAGTAACTAAACATAAGTAATCTATTTCATTGATCCATTAGTACTGTTGAAATTTTTTTGAACATTTATGATGGATAAAAAGCTATTTATTAGCAACAACCTCAACATGTAGTATTGAGCTCATAAATCACAGAGGTAACGTGAGTCTTGTCTGGATGTTACAGGGACGGATGAGCACACGCGGCTGCTTATCCGGTGGAGAGTGGCTCATGAAGCGCTCTTCACCAGAAAGCGTAATGCTGCCATCAAAGGCTTTGAGTGAGTATACAGAAATATTTAAAAATCAATTGAATACTTTATTTGCAGTACATTTCAATTATTGTATTTTCAAACAGAGATATAACTTTTTCATTCTTGATTTCTCTCTTGCTGCAGATCTTTTGTGGAGGAGCAGAGCCTGCAAGGCAGGGTGACGGCGGGGTTTGTTAAAAAAAAATGGGAAAACCTGAAACAAAAATACAAAGTAAGATCATTTTGTTAGTAGTATTAACATAAACCATGTGTCAAAAAAGGTGTTTTATGACTTTGATTTATGGTTCTGAGGTTCCCCTGTCTCTGATTTATGATGGGTCACTGACAGGCTCCGGTATGTCTAGGCTGCGCGACGCCATGTGACATCCTCCTGCGTTGACATCCTGGCCAGAGGTGTAAAAGAAAGGTGTCTGGTCCCTTGGCCTTCCGGGTTTATTGGCCGTCTACCTGCGCGAGATAGGTGTCGTGTCTCGTGTCAAGCATCACCGCTGTTTATTCTCGTTCTCAAACTATTTTCCAAGCCATATTGTGTTGTTGGAATCGTGAGTGCAAGAAGATGGAATCCAGTCTTAACAGTAAGTATTTTTTATTATTTAGTAACATTGTTAAGGATGATTATTTATTTATATGAGTGTCGCTGTTCTATTGCGTTACTTAAGGTTTTATCTGCCCGCTTCAGATGGTGATAGTTTGAGTCTCTTCGATCTTGTTGAGGAGATTAATTTCCTAAATCAAGCCGGCGGTACGTATAATTATGTTTAAATGTTGCATACGTTGTGTGTGTGTGTGTGTGTGTGTGTGTGTGACGGATGATGTTTTGTTTTGTTTTCGCCAGGAGGCGTGGCTAGACCTAGCACAGCTGCTGCTACGCACAATGCTGTTGCCTCTTCACGAGCGATCACGGAAGCACTTGTGCCAGGTATTGTTAAATGTTGTTACACCCGTGTTTAAACAGTGTTGTGGCTGTGTGAAAATATCTTATCTTCTCTGTTTTTTTTTTTGTTTTTACCAGGGCCGAAACGCGTGACTATCAAGGCCTTAGTACATGCACCACAGCGAAGCTGCGAGTCTGCTAACGTTGAAGTTATTCCCCTGGGTATGTGCATTGTGATTCGGCTTTATCAAACAATGTTATGCTGCTATGGTTTGTTGATTTTATTTTAAAACTTTAACACATGTATTTCCAGATGGTTTATCAAACGTTGTGAGCAATGTCGGTGTGTCTGAATGTGCGAATGACCTGGATAAGGCAAGCTTGAAGGGCATAGTGGCGAAACCGAAAAATAAGTTGAAACGTAAAGCTGCAGTGGTATCCCATGCGGACGCAAAAGCTTCTGCTGATGGGTCATCGAGAGACGTACCCAGGGGCGGACTGGCCATCTGTGTGATCTGGAGTATCACAGAACGGCCGGTACTCTAGGACGGTCGGCGGGCCGGCCCACCACCCGCCACACACGCAGTCATAACCTGTTTTTTCCCCCCACTAATCTGTTTCACACTCCAGTACTGTAGGTGGCAGCAATGCACCTTTAAGTTGGATGCCAGCGCGGAGCATTATCAGCTCGGCCCAAAAATACTGCGATCGCGGCCGAAGCAGCTGTGCGGACTGATCTCGATCACGCGAACATTATTACACAGAGTTGCGCGATCCACTGAGAAGCATTTCAATTCAGCGCAGAATTCTCTATCTCTATTATAAACCCACAGATGGCTGTGATTTAAGCTAGTTAAAAGCCAGATTAAACAGCGCTGATATTCTCAACATCTTGACGCAAAAAAACAGGTGAAACATTGTTCCAAGAACAAACCAGTTAGAAGACATTTCACTCCACAATTTATGAATTAACTGTAACTTAGTAAAACAAACTTTTTTGGCAGAAATGTGCCTGTATTCATATTAAAAATGCTGTTATATTAATAGTCATGTTGGCCTATAAATGTAGGCTATTAAATGTAATGCAGTAGGCTAATGTTTTTGTTTAGAAGTTATGGCAGTTTATTTATTTATTTTGCATTAAATATTTATACTAAATGTTTATGCTACAATAGGTTTTTAGAGAATAATATATATATATATATATATATATTACAAATTTTTCACCAATTGTTGAACCAGAATATCAAGATATTTTATTATTTTGCATATGATGGTGAAAAATAAAAAAGGTAAAGGTAAAGGTAAGGTAAAAAAAACACCACCATGTTATATGTATAATAAATATTTTTGAGTATAGCCCTTCTAGATTATTTTATCCCTTGAGGTAGCCCTCACACACAAAAAGGTTGGAGACCCCTGGTATATAGTAACTAAATGTTTTATAATTACAAGTTTGTGTAATTAGGGTTTCTGTAGCCAGTGACATTTCATTATTTGTATTTTATTTTCAATGCAGATGCAATGGCATTGTACATTTTTTTGTTTTTATTTGAAGACTGAGGCTTCATTAATAAACAAAACCCCAATTGTCATCATTGTTTTTGAGATATTACTTGCTGTGAATACCTTGTCTGATATAGGTTACAGTATTGTGGCATAGTATCAGGACATCCTAGTGGCTAGGGGCGAATGGCTGGATGATGGGCCTATTTGGGAGAAAGTCCAGGGCTGTTTTTTAGCCCCAGTCCGTCCCTGGACGTACCACAGACATCTGTCCCAAAAAAGCCAAGACGATCAGCTGATAAAAGTAAGTAATGAACAAAAGCTGATGGATTGTTTTCTGTTCACACTAAATCAGAAAGATAAATATTGTTTATTTGAATGTGATGGTCAGAGGTCGAATGTGTTTGTGGATGTATAATGTGCCAATACGCTAGTTTAGAACTGTTGTTATCATACATTAGCATTAATTGTTGGAAAAACAAACAAACATAAAACACAAAACCTGCATATCTCTTAGAGTAGGTGATTATTTATAATTTTAGGTGACACCATTGGAGAACTGTGTGTAAAAAAAAAAAGTGTAGACATGTTGATTTTAGGCTGCTGCGCCATTCCATATTAGCATGGTCTTGTTTGATTGTTTGTTTATATATACATATATATATATATATATATATAGAGAGAGAGAGAGAGAGAGAGAGAGAGAGAGAGAGAGAGAGAGAGAGAGAGAATTTGACACTACGTATTGTTTTTTAATGTTACATTAGTACCAGACTGATTTTTATTTTATTTTTAGTCTTAGAAAATATAGTTAATATTAATATTACTGTTATCATTATAATATTAACACACATTTGTACTAACTTTTTTTGTTTGCACCCTTTTCTACTTCTTAACAGAGGTGGTCGTAGTTCCCGATATAAATGATGTTCAGAGCTGGAGTGAGGGTCTGATACAATCGTGGGATGGCTGTGTATTTACAAACGACCCTAAAGAAACACCGCAGTCTGTTCCAACCAGCGAATGGGTCGTGGTCGTGGAGGAATCCGACCCTGAACAGCTGCCTTCAAATCAGGAGGCTTACAAACAGGAATCACAACCCGTTATAGACAATCAGCACATAGCCGGACTGATACAGGACTCTGTCAAGACCGCATTGAATGCCTTCGAAGTACGTTTTGACAAACGCCTTAATGCCATTGAGAGACGTTTAGATGCTTATGAGTCAACACAACAACAAAAGGGAATTTGGCTTAAACAATGCATAGCAGCGCAACGGTTGCATAGTGGTACTGTTCAAAAAGTAGCCAGAGAACAAGGCCTGACTACAGAATTGTTAAAGCAACTGGTGCTCATGCTTAAAAAGAAACTTGGGTGAGTTGAGAACATTTTATATATATATTTTGCATACTATGGTTTTTTTTTTTTTTTTTTTTTTTTTTCTTCAACATTTGTCACAGTTTTTCATTCTATCTTTTTTTACTGTATGGACACAGGGTTTATTATCCATAGTTTTTTAAGGTGTTGCTACATGTGATTTAAATAAATAAAATAAAAAAGATCTGATTTAAAAATGCCTAAACGTTGTCGGGAGCCAGATGGTTTTGATCAGGGTCCGGTAGCTAGGTTTAGACGAAACGATGGTAGCGTGGTGCCCCTCGAACAGTGCAGTAACACAGAAACATTGCTCTATTTAATACAGACTGTGGAGGATATGAATAGGTCTGAGTCTTCAACTGATACGTTGGTAGAATTATTAAACATCGTGAGATCAATGTCCGATGAGGATCCTGACCCAAATAATGATTTTGAACATGTTGTAAATACCCAACCAGCAGGAGAGGTGTTAGAACCTTGTCCAGAACCAAATTCTGCATTTGATCATCTTGTTTCTTTTCACCAGTCAGACGAGGGCCCAGGTACACAGACACATCGCACACTCAACCCTGAAGCGCCCAATATGGGTCTCACAGATAGAGATATAGAATCACTTGTAACAGTAGGTGGTGATGTTAGTGTGTACACGGTACTGCCACGAGCACGGTTCAATGGTCTGGAAGTCCACAGGCTTATAAATTTGCGAGAGATATCTTCGACAGATTTAGCAGCCTACACAGTGTTTTTACATGACACACTTTCTGAAATTGTGGAGTTTTCCAAACTGTTAGGCGGAGACGGGTGTTTAATCAGCATCACGTTGAGTGGATCGAGTTTGACATCAGATGTTAGTACACTTTTGACGGGTAGCAATGGTTATAGTGTAGATCTATTTATAAACGACCTTGAAAAAATAATGCAGAGCAACTCTGACGTACAGTTTGATGATAGATTGAATTTAAGACTGTCGATAGCGAGAAGTAAACACGGCGGTGTTTATCGAAAGATCCGTGATCTTGCCCACAATGAAGTGATTACCAAAAACAGACTTAATCTGTTCTGTCCCACGAACATTTCAAACAATCTTTGTTTTGCAATCTGTCTGGCACATTTCCTAAATCCACAGAAACCACACGTAGAGCTTGAGTCTGTAGCATCTTCAATACAGAAGTCAGCTGGCTATGGTGATCAATACAAGATAGCGTTTAATGACATCAGACGGTTTGAACAGATGCTGAGCGTTAAAATAGTTGTCTTCTATCGGTCTGATACGGGTGTTTTGGAGAAGTATACAAACACAGACGATCCGCATCCTAAAACAGTATTTTTGTACCTGCATGACAATCATTATTTTATGATTAAAAATCTACGTGCATTTATTGGCACCCCATACGTGTGTGAGTTCTGCCACCGAGGATTCACCTGTAGGAGAGATCACAGATGTCGGTACATCTG